AGGAGAGAGATCTATTCTGAAACATGCATCGTTTTAATTTATTATTTAATTTGTAATTTGATTTTTTTTCGGTATTAGAACCAGAGAAAAAAAACTTACAATACCAAAGGGACTGGAATGGTTTCCATATGTGTAGGGCACATTATATATGTCTTCAAATTTCTCCTGGGTTAAACAAATGAAACAGATGAGTTTTGTTATGGTTATTACTATAATTTTTTTCCCACCTCCACCTCCAAAGTGCTAGGATTGCAGGCACCACCACTTTGTCCAGTAATATACAGCTTAGAGTGACTCATGACTAGGCCACAAGTAGAGAAAAGATTTTTTTTTTTTTTTTTTTTTTACCAATTATCTGTCAATGAATGGGTGAATGTTCTGAGTACAAGTCTTTGCCACAGATACAGATGAGTGTGTTCTCATGTGGTTGTAAAGTCTATGTAGCCCAAAGTAAATACACAGACATCTAGGCTCTTCTGAGTGAGGGTTGCCAGGAAAAGGATAATTACATAACCACAAGCCAGTGGTTTCTCTCAGGACCCTTCAGACTCTAAATCGCAGTGTAGAAATGAGTTAAAGGATCATAATTGTCCTTTGAAGAAGATGGGAAGTTTGTGCCGTCAGCCCCTCCACTGGTGTCCACCAAGTGCTATCAGTGTACTGGCACCGACTAGAGCCCAGGAATAATGCTAGACATATGGATGCTGGCTTAATCCCTTAAAGATGTCAGTCTCCAATTTGATTTTTCCTCCTGAGAGGGAAAACACAGTAACCTCAAGATTTCATTATAAAAGAAATAAATAAAACTCTGATTTTTTGCTGTTGTTGTTGCTGCTAAGGCTGGAGCTCCAGCCCAGGGCTTCTCACAAACGAAGCAAGTACTACCACAGATCTGTCTTCCAGCCCTAACAATCTCCTCACACTGTCGTAAAAATAATAAATCAGAAAGATAAACATGAAACAAAGTTATCAGCAGCTCACCCTGAGGTAACCCCCAGTATTACTCACATCTCTGTATTCTTTCTGGCGGTTGACTAATCAAAGGCAATGCAATGTAAATTTGAATACACATGCTTTTGCGTTTTCTAAAACGCTTTGCTTTTCAAGGCACTGTGGTCATCATCTCTCAGAATTTCTGACTTTATATCGCTGGAGCTGGGATGGAGGGAAGCTCTGGGGACCCCATGCTGAGTTCTGAAGGAAGCTTGACCTCACCCATTGCTTGGGGGGCTTAGGGTCTGTCCCCAGCTGCTGAAACACAGTTTCAAGCACACACACACACACACACACACACACCCGGGGGAAGTAGTGCCTGCAACATTTTCCTAGTTTTGCGTCAGTCAACACTGCTCTCAAAGCCTCCAGCTTTTGTTGATTGTGAAAAGGATCAGCAATGAAAATGAACTATTGCAATGTTTTTACTTTCTTTTCCCAAAACTGATTAAATAAATTTAGGAAGCAGCTGTGGCTTCCTGTAAGACACTTGAAAAAGTTGGAAGATGAACACTCCAGTCTTTAGGGGGAGCTTGGGGGGCAGTTGACATAGCCTAGCAATGCAGGAGGTCCTGGAGTCAATCTCCAGCGCTGGGTGGGGCAAGAGGACCCAAAGTTCAAGATTATCCTTGGTCACGAACAGTTTGAGGAGACTTTATGCTATATGAGGGCATCCTTCAAGAAAAAAAAAGAAAGCTACATTGCTTCGAGGCTTCAGAGGCCAGGCTTATGGAGAAGTTGCTGGGGTGATAATCTGGCAAGGCCCATGGCAGTTATCAGTTTTGGATGGGCTGCTTTTCTGGTCAACCATCTGCTGTTATTCATAGGTCATTGGACGTTCTGGGTTCCAAAAAGCCAAAGGAGGTTTAGATTATCGTGTCTTACGACATGTGTTAGCCCTT